AGCTTTTACCTAGGGCTGTGCAGTACACTTGGAACTGACTGCCCCAGGAGCGGAAGCACAGCCCCACTATTTTCCATTGACTGATCCAGACTGCACCGGAAAAGGGTGAGGCTCCAGAACACCTGCAATACATTGATGACATCATCATATGGAGGAACACAGCAGAAGAAGTCTTTGAGAAGGGGAAAAAATAATCTAGATTCTCCTTAAAGCTGGTTTTGCCATTAAATGCAGTAAGGTCAAGGGGCCTGCCCAGGAAATTCAATTCCAAGGAGTGAAGTGGCAACGTTGACAGGTTCCAACAGAGATGGTTACAACCAGAGGTGATTAACAAAATAGCAGCCATGTTTCCACCAACCAGTAAGAAGGAAACACAGACTTTCCTAGGTGCCATAGGTTTTTGGAGGATGCATATCCCTGAGTACAGTCAAATTGTGAGCCCTCTCTATCTTGTGACGTGGAAGAAAAACGACTGCAAGTGGGACCCTGAAAACTGCAAGCCTTTGAGCAGATCAAACAAGATTGCCCACGCAGTAGCCCTTGGGCCAGTCAGGACAGGACAGGATGTGAAGAATGTGTTCTACACCGCAGCCAGGGATAATGGTCCTTCATGGAGTCTCTGGCAAAAGGTACCTTGGGAGACCCAAGGACAACTGCTGAGGTTCTGGAGTTGGGGATACAAAGGATCTGAGACCAGCTACACCCCACCTAAAAAGGAGATATTAGCAGCCTACACATGGGTTCGAGCTGCCTCAGAAGTGATTGGCACCAAAGCACAGCTCCTTCTGGCACCCTGACTACCAGTGCTAGGGTGGATATTCAAAGGAAAAGTCCCTTGCACACATCATACCACTGATGCTACGTGGATTAAGTGGACTGCTCTGATCACACAGCAAGCTTCGATAGGGAATCCTAATTGCTCTGGGATTTTGGAAATCATCACAAACTGGCCTGAAGGTGAGAATTTTGGACTATCATGCAAAGAGGAAGAGGAGCAGGTGATGTGTGCTGAGGAGGCCCCACCTTACATGGTGATGAAAAGCTACATGCGCTCTTCACTGACAGTTCCTGTCATATCATAGGGACAAACTGAAAACAGAAAACAGCCATATGGAGCCCCATGTTGCGAGTCACATAAGCTACCAATGGACAAGATGGATCAAGTCTGCTTGCAGAGCTGAGAGCCACCCAGCTGGCTTTGGATATCACAGAACGAGAAAAGTGGCCGACGCTCTATGTCTACACTGTCTTGTGGATGGTAGCAAATGCTCTGTGGGGGCCGCTAGACAGATAGAGAAAGGCCAGCTGGCAGCACAGATGAAAACCCATTGCTGCCCAGGTAGAGGAAGTGACTGTGAAAGTATGTCATGTAGGGGTACATGTACCTAAGAGTCAAGCTATGGAAGAACATCACAAAAATGAACGACAGGTGGATCAGGCTGCCAAGATTAAAGTGTCTCAGGTAGATTTGGACTGGCAACACAGTGGTGAGTTATTTCTAGCTCGGTGGGCCCATGACGAGCTCAGGTCATCAGAGAAGAGATGTGACGCGTTGATGGGCTTGTGATCAAGGGGTGGATTTAACCATGGACACTGTCTCTACAACTGTGAAACACATGCTGCAATCAAACAGGCCAAGCATGTCAAGCCTCTGTGGTATGGTGGACAGTAATCAAAATATAGATATGAGGAGACCTGGCAGATTGATTACATCATAGTGCCACAAACCCACCAAGGCAAGCACTGTATGTTGACAATGGTAGAAGCAACCACTGGATGGCTGGAGACACACGCTTGTGCCCCATGCCACTGCCTGGAACACTGTCTTGGACCTTGTAAGGCAAGTCCTGTGGCAACATGGCACTCCAGAGTGAACTGAGTCAGACAACGGGATTCATTTTAAGAATAGCCTCATAAACACCTGGGCTAAAGAGCATGGGATTCAGTGGGTAATGCAGAAAGATGAGGAAACACAATCTGTACCTCAGGGGGATATGATTTTGCATTAGAACCATCTGTAGTATTGCACTGTGTGTGTGTATATATACATATACATATACATACACATACATATACATATACATATACATATACATATACATATACATATACATATACATATGTAATGTAATGGCCAGTCTTCGCGAACGAAGAACCGGGGAAGGTCTTTACACCTTCCAGCCTGCGCATTGGATTTTTTAGGTGAGACACAGTGTGCGCGGAACTGAGCCCACCCTTTAATCCTGAGGTTCATCTGCCGGGGCCAAGCACGCTTGGACGGTGGCAGCGAGGTCCTCAGGACGTAGATGGATTGCCT